TTGCATCTATGAGAAAATGCTGACGTCAGACCCTTTGCTAAACTGTGCTTACCATGAAGAAAGAACCCTGATTTGCTTACCATCATCTCCCTAACACGTCCAGGAAGTCTGGTCCATAGAAGATGCTCAGTGAATGAATGAATGAATGAATGAGCAAATGAATGAAACTTTTAAAACAAAGTAGATGGTCCCAAGTCACAGAATTATCAGGATGCCATTGACTTCATGGGCCCATCTTCTATAACTCCAAGCTGAAACTCAGAATTTTTTTTGGTTTATTTATATATATATATATATATATATATATATATATATATATATATATATATTTACATCATTGTTCATTTTTGTACAGTTTGCTTTCTCCTCTCAGGTGTAGTCCCCATAAAATTACTACCAAGTCACCTGTGAACTATCACCATAGTCTCTTGTGCTCTTCCTGTCCCTGTTTTAATCCCTCTCCCTCCCCCGCTGTATGTCTCCTATTTATTGTTGCCTACTAGTTTTGTCTTTTTTTCCCCCGAGCCCTTATTTGGTTCCCCTATATTATATAAGTGAAACCATCTGATGTTTTTCTTTTTCCTTCTGATTTAGTTCACTGAGCATAGTCCCCTCCAGCTCTATCCATGTTGCTGCAAATGGCATGAGTTTATCTTTTTAGATTGCTAAATAGCATTCCATTGTGTATATGTACCACATCTTCTTGATCTAGTCATCTGTTTTGGGACATTTAGGTTGTTTTCATATCTGAGCTATTGGAAATACTGAAATATTGCTGGAATAAACATAGGAGTGCAGTTATCCTTTTGAATTAATGTTTTTGTGTTCTTTGGGTAGATTCCTAGGAGTGGAATTGCGGGGTCATTACTAAAAGCTCCATTTTTAGTAATTTGAGAAACCTCCATACAGCTTTCCATAGTGGTTGGACCAGTTGGCATTCTTATCAGCAGTGTAAGATTGTTCCTTTTTCTCCACATCGTCACCAGCATTTGTTGCCAGTTTTTTTTTTTTTTAATATGTGCCATTCTCACTGATGTGAGGTGATATCTCATTGTGGTTTTAATTTGCATTTCCCTGATTATAAGTGATGTTGTGAATTTTTTCATATTTCTGTTGACCATCTCCATTTCCTCTTTGGAGAAGTGCCTTTTTAGCTCTTCTGCCCATCTTTTGACTGAATTGTTAGCTTTGTCTTTGTTGAGTAGTGTGAGCTCTTTGTAGATCTTTGAAATCAGTCCTTTATCAGTTGTGTGGAGTGCAAGTATTTTCTTCCAGTCAGCAGGGTGTTTCTTTGTTTTGGTTATTGTCTCTTGCTGTACAGAAACCTTTTAGTTTGATTTAATCCCAGCTGTTTATCTTTTCCTTTACTTTCTTTCCTTGGGGTGGGGGCGGGGGGTGATGAACTTAGAATTTCTAACTATAGATGTTTATCAGTTCAGAGAGTCAACTTTTGTAGCATTTCTTTTCAGACTTCCTCCGGAGTGCATGATACCTTTTTAATTCCAATTTGTTGCCAAACTTTATAGTCCTAGGTCTCAGACATCATTCAGTAATGTCGCCTGTGTGAAGGTAAATACTCTATTTTTGAAAGCACAATGTATAATTACACAACATCATAGCACCATCTGCAAGGTGCTGTGCCATTTTCTTTATTTCTCAAGGCAGCATCACATATCTCATTTTACAAGTGAGGGTATAGACTGAAAGCAAGGAGGCTGCCTTGGGCCTCTGCGTTCCTGCTCTAAATACACCACTACCTCTGACTAAGTGTGCCACGGTCAGGTCCTTTACACACCCTCTGGCCCAGCAGTCCCTTTGGGGGCCTAAGCTTTCTTCCCTACCACTTGCAGGGCCCCTTTTGACTTTCCTGTCAGTGATCTATGCATTTTTCAATTCTCCTTCCTGCTGTGTTCCACTCTCTTCTCTTCGAATAGGTTGATTCCTAGGGGAAATGTATCTATGACTAACATAGTGCCCCTAGCCTTGTGGGGTAGATGTTGTTTCTGCCTTCAAGGTTAAGGACCAATTAGAAATATAATCCGTTCAAACACTCATTGTCATAACCTACTTTGGGTTGCTTTAGTGAAGCCCAACAGACTGGCAGTTTATAAACAATAAAAGCTTATTCCTCACAATAGATCAAGGTGCTGGCACCATCAGGTGAGGGCTCTCCTCCTGTCAGACTTCTGGTTGTGTCCTCACACACTGAGGGAGAAGGGGGAGCAGTAATCTTACTTATGAGAGCAGTCACCTCTTGACCTAATCACTTCCCAAAGGCCGCACCTCCTAATATAGTCCCTGTGCCTCAGGATTTCAACATATGAATTAGGGAAGGAAGGACACAAACATTTAGAGCATAGCACTCACCAGCTATTTCTTAAACCCCTCCTTTATGCAGAGAACATAATTCCAGGTACAAGACAGTTCATGGGTAGTAAAAGACTTCCTTTCATTTAGAGCCAAAATGGTGTGGTGCACACTGAAAATACTATGCAGATTTGAAGAAACGAATACATCAGAATTAGCTGATAGTTTAGATACTCTTAAAATAGGTATATGCTATTCCTGAAGCCATCATAAAATGAGTTTTTTTTTCCTAAGCAGCTTTGGTTTACCCTTTGGTGTAAGTGTTATCAGCAGAACTATAACTTATAATAATACTTTTTTTTAAGCTTTACTTATTTTTTGCATAGAATAGATGGAATGTAGGCCAGAGGTGGGGGTGGGGGGTGAGAGGATTCACCAGAGACAGAGTGGGGAGCACAACAGGCGGATTTACTGAAATGCACTACTAAGGAGACCATCAGGTGAGACCGGAGAGGTCTGCTGTGCCAATAGGATTAGCTCCCTGGCCTAGGATTGAACTCAGGCCTTAGCAGTGATAGCGCTGAGACTTATTAACCCTTGGCCACCAGGGAAGCCCTAATAATAATATTTTGAACATGTGAAGATATTTCTAAAACCTGAAGAAAGCTGAATTTCTAATAATTTCCATAATTGCTTAGTTTTTAAACTTGGGTAAAACAGTGATTGTAGGTGATTTTCTATAGTACAGTAGAAAAAGTAGAGTTTTCAAGGACATGTAATATTCTGTTAAATTGGGGCATCTTTACCTTTCCTCATTATTTTGCCAAGATTTTTGTGGCGGGAGCAGAGGGACAATGACTGCAGTGCTGAGAATCCCAGAACATCCACTGCACTGGAAAAATGGTTGTGTGTGTGTGTCAAACTATCTCATTCTCTCCTCTCATGGTGGACAGCATTCCAACAAGAGCAACAAGCCTCGCTGTTTTCTGGTCTGAATGTCTGAAAACATTTGATAACAATTGAGGGGTGGCTTCCATGATGGCACCATTGAAAAATCACCAGAGAGATGTTGATGATTTCTAAACATAATCTGCCTGTTCTGAATTTCATGTACTCAGAAAAGCAGTTGGCAGTATGTAGGAAAGGAATTCTGAAAACCCGTCCTTTCTCTCAGTCACTGGTAGGATTTTGCTTTATAAACTTGTAGGCTATGATAGGGTCATCATCTCACTTGTTCATTTCTGAGTCCAACTTTGATCTTGGAGGAGGCCTCTGAGAAACCACTGAGGTAGACTATTTCAGTCTTATCAGGCAGAAAAGGGATGATCATTTAACTACTTCTACCTAGTCTAAGCCCTAAGAATTAACCAAACTCCTGAAAGTGTTTTAGGAGTAAACGTGGAGTTAAACAGATTTTAGTCGGTCCTCAGGGCACTTGTCTGTATTTAGCTGTTCAGTGAGGCCTTTGATACAGTGGCAAGTGACTGGCACGAAAACTTAACTCATTCTCCACCTCTTCCAAGGTCAAGGGGTATAGTTCTAATCTACAGCTAGAGAAGACAGCCCTCCCAATGCAGCATCTTTAAAGTTTACCCTACTTTTGACAAAATTCCCTCTCTAAAATGACGTCCTAGGTAATACAGAAAAACAGACTTGACTTGGTTTGGTTTGTTTGGATCACTCTTGTGTAAGCCAACACTTTGAAAACTCTTAGTACTGTGCTTTCTCAAAATCACATGTGAAACAGGCAGCTTTCAAATTTCTTAGCTTTACATTCTTAATAAGGAAATTGAGGCATCAGAAGTAATTTTTCCAGAGTTGTTCATTCACCAAACAAAGGTAGAAGAGAAAGCTGCAAACACCAAACAGGAAGCAACAGCTGTGTGCACTAATTCATTCATTTGGGAAAAGGAATTGGAGGCATCTATGAAAGGACTGGTTATGCAAAACTGCCCTTTCTGGTTGGTCAGTGCAAACGGCACAGAACTTAGTCAGAAGCACAAAGCTTTCAGGATTGCCACTGTCTGCAGTGAGCATTCCCTAGCTGGTGGTTTGGTTGCTTGTTATATTCCTTCGCTTTTAAAATTTTTGAAAATGCACCTAAAGTTGACTATTACTCAGACCTATTATAGAGTTCCTTAAGGAAGGATTTTTTAAAAGCCATAGATTTAATTTGCAGATATGCCACTGAATAAGAAATATATTTACCAGAAAGTTTTAGGCCTTTGATAAGGCAATGTGGAATGTATAACAATATGTTTTTGGCTGTTTTGTCATTTTTGGAAACAAAATTCTCCTGTCTCCAACCACTGGTGTTTGTTACCATGTGTATTTTTCTGGAAGAAGCATCACCTGCAGGATTTTAAAATGTTCTATCACCTGCAGGATTTTAAAATGTTTTATCACCTGCAGGATTTTAAAATGTTTTAGAGCCTTTAGGAAGCAAACCCAACAATAAAGAAATTTGGAAAAACGACTTAGCTAATTAAAAATGTCAGATGATCTGACTTTCAAGAACTTTTCGTTGGTTTTAGATGGAAGCTCTGTGTTTAAGTGCTTTGCTTTCTCTGGCATGTGACTTGAGATAAGTTCCAAGAACAATCCACTAGTTACTGGGTTTGCAGAAGGAAATATGCTCCCTGTTAATGGGCTGTCTTCTCTCTATTCCTCCCCCATCCCTCTTCTTATTTCAGTGGTGCTTCATGCCCCACCTCCAACCAAGATCAAACGGGAGCTGCACAGCCCCTCATCCGAGCTGTCCTCCTGCAGCCATGAGCAGGCTCTTGGTGCTAACTATGGAGAAAAGTGCCTCTACAACTACTGGTAAGTGTAGATGGAGAAAGATTGGCCAGAAAGTAGCTGTTGAGCTGTTTCAAGTGTTTATTATTCAGCAGACACCCAGGGGAGCACACACACCCCCGTCCTCCATGGCAATGGAATTTGCTAGGTGTGGGCCAGTCCAATGGGGCCTTTATGTTGCCTGAGAAACGCCAAACTGTTAAAGCAGCTCTGTAGGGAACTGAGTCCAGAGGGAACCAAGCCCTCCTGAGGAAAAGAGCCTTGAAGACTGGGGTATTTGATCTGTGGCTTCAAGGGAGGGAATATATACTTCTTCATGTCTATCATATGTTAATGTGAACTTTAAGCACCAAAGAAATAATCTTCAAATCAGAATATATGAAAAAGTCCAATGCCGGTGCCCTTTACTTAAGAATATCCAGGACCAGGAATGAAGCTTTAATTTTAAATCATTCTTTGCTCTAGAAGATAAACATAGATTTGCCTGAAAGGGGGAGGAGAAGAGTTGTTAATTCAAGTGATGTTACAGCAGAAATTTATCCTCAACAAAGGTTCTGACTAATTCCTGGGAACCCTGGAATACTTGGGAAAGGAGGCTAGAGGACTCCTCTGACATAAATCCCCCCTCATCCATCCACCCTCTACACACGTATATGGAGAATTCTTTTAGAAGGGGGAAAAAAGGAAACCGGAAGCTGTGGCTAAAATTATCTTTGAGAAGAATCACTAGAAGTGTTAAACAAGTCCCTGTGACGCAGTGTGTTTGTCACTTTTCAGAGGTACAAATATTCCCTCGGGGCTGCCAGCACTTTTTAACTATGTTAATGCTGTCATTTCCTGGCAACCCTGGGCTGTCAACCTAGTGTTCTGCTGGACCTGGTGACCAAGGTAATGGCTTCCTCGAAGCTTAATGGTTCCTTTTCTCTTTCTGTTTACAGTGCCTATGATAGGAAGCCTCCCTCTGGGTTCAAGCCATTAACCCCTCCTACCACTCCCCTGTCACCCACCCATCAGAATTCCCTATTTCCCCCACCTCAGGCAACCCTGCCCACCTCGGCACATGCCCCTGCAACAGGCCCTGTCCAGGCGGTGGGCCCTGCCGCCGCCCCTCATTCGCTTCCAGAACCTGGACCACAGCAGCAAACCTTTGCGGTCCCCCGGCCACCACATCAGCCCCTGCAGATGCCAAAGATGATGTCTGAAAACCAGTATCCATCAGAACAGAGGTGGGTGCTGACCTGGACTTCCTTCACTACCGCTTCTCCTCACTGGGAGAGGAGAAGCAGTTAGTCATATTTACCAGGTACCTATAAAGTTTTCATTCCATTGAGGCATCTTGTGAGGTAAGACTAATAATAAAATGAATATGACCTTTTTATATATCGCCCTGTTCCCGAGGTACTACAAGCCATTCATAGACATTACAACATCCTAATGAAGTAGGTAAGGGAAGATCATTAGCACTATCCCCTCATTAGAGGGCTGGAGGAAGGGAGTCTTGCCCAGGCTACACCGTCTGTCGGCCCTCACTGAGGGCAGGTTTCCTGGCTCCTCATTGGTTACTGCCTGTGAGAATCAAAACTTGGTTTATAGTACCCATAATTACTTTATTAACATTGTACTTACATATTAGGGAAGATTGCTGAGTTATGGAGGTATTTACTCATCTGATTTTAACACAGGTTTTTTTGTTTTTGTTTTTTTATTTTAACACAGTTTAACAGTAGATTAGCTGAGGATCTTATTTATAATTATCTCCTTTTAAGCTAGAAATCTCATAGTTCTACATTCCTAATAAGGAAATTGTGGCATCAGGAATTACTTATCCAGAGTCCTTCATTCATTAACAAACTAAGGTAAAAAGGGAACTGACTATGCAAATACCAAACTTAACCTTTAAGGTCCCAGCCTAAGAGTCCATTATCTGTGGATGCTTGTGGCTCTGGGGGCCTGTCTTTTTTTTCTCAAACCTCTTTAGGCTGAGGCGATTATGTAGGTGGCTAGTTGTCAGTGATGTGGCCAAAGGCTGCAAGATGGTGGATAATGTGTTTCTCTTTCTTCCTTTGCATCAGGTGGGTGTGGGGATGAAAGGGTAGAAGAAGGGAACATGTACCGTCCCCAGCTTGGTCCAATTCAGATGCCTGCCAGTATTAACTCAGAGGCCACTTTCTTTATTTCTAGAAGAAATGCAGAACAAAACTAAGCATTCTTTTTTTTTTTTTAAATAATAAATTTTATTTTTATATTCCCTATACAATTGCAACCCCCCCATTCTGATCCCAATCCCTCCCCTCCCGCCCCACCCCCCCAAAAGTGTCTCTGTTTCATAGTTTTTTGTTGATTCTGATTTTCACTTTCTTATAGTTATTCATTTTCCTGGTCCCTTATTTAAGTTTTCTAGATTCCTACTATGAGTGAGACCATCCGGTATTTTTCTTTTTCTTTCTGGCTTATTTCACTGAGCATGATCCCTTCCAGCGCCATCCATGTTGCTGCAAATTGCATGTGTTTATCTTTTTTGAATGCTGAGTAATATTCCATGGTGTATATGTACCACATCTTCTTGATCCAGTCATCTATTTTTGGGCATTTGGGTTGTTTCCAAAGCTTAGCTATTGTAAACAGTGCTGCTATAAACATAGGGGTGCAGGTGTTCTTTGGAATTGATGTTTCTGTGTCCTTTGGGTAAATACCTAGGAGTGGAATTGCTGGATCATATGGAAGCTCTATGTTTAGTAGGTCCAGAAATCTCCACACAGCTCTCCATAGTGGTTGGACCAGTTTGCACTCCCACCAACAGTGCAGGAGAGTTCCTTTTTCTCCACACCCTCGCCAACATTTGTTGTTGCTAGTTTTTTTAATATGTGCCATTCTCACTGGTGTAAGATGGTATCTCATGGTAGTTTTGATTTGCATTTCCCTGATTACAAGTGATGTTGAACATTTTTTCATATGCCTGTTGGCCATTTGCATTTCTTCTTCAGAGAAGTTTCTTTTTAGCTCTTCTGCCCATTTTTTGACTGGATTATTTTCTTTGTTGTTGTTGAGTCTCATCAGCTCTTTGCAGATTTTTGTAATCAGTCCTTTATCATTAGTGTTGGGTGCAAAAATGTTCTCCCAGTTGGTGGGGTTTCTCTTTGTTTTTGTTACTGTCTCTTTTGCTGTGCAGAAGCTAAGCATTCTTAACCTAGTTTCTATCCCATTCCGCCTTGCTGTGAATATCACCATCAAGACCTACATGACTTGGCTGGTTAGCATTCTGGTGAGGCCAAGGGCCACAGACATGGATAGTATATCAGACCCAAGGAGTAGTGCTGAATAGCAGCTGCCCATTGTAGGCCTCTGTTAAGACAAGGAGCTCAGGTGTAGGAGACAGCTTCCACTAAACTTTTGCCAGTTATCACCATGTATTAACTGCCTTGCACTTTTTCAAGAAAATTGAGAAATTTGAGTATGTTAAAAAAAATCCAGGTTTAGGGTTTTTTTTTTTTTTTTTTAAGTTGGCAACTAATTAAAATGAAAAACAAAAGCAACACTTTACAGACTAAACAAAACCTCTCTGTGGGCAGAATCACCCTGCAGGCCTGCCAGTTTATGAACTTGGGCCTGGATACCATTTTTACTTCAATAGCTTTTTGGTCTTGTACTTTTGAACAGTATTTTCTAGTCTCCTGTAGGGGTTATTAATTGAGGAGGAGGGATGAGGTGGGGCATCTATTTGGCATTTGAAATACTTAGCAAACTTTGTCTTTGTTCAATCATGTGTAAAAGAAAATTACTTCATGTTAAATCTCTTTTATTCACGTTTCCCTGTCAATCCCTGTTTCTTATCCAGGGGGCTTGTGTAAACAGATTGTGTCAACGGTTAACTGAATTGGCGGGGGAAATACCCTAATTCTCTTGGCTGCTATTTGTCTTCCTGCAACCCTAGTCAACTGGGAGTCGTAGTCTCAGTGGTGAAGGAAGCTTGGCTCCCAGCTGTCCAGCCCCCTCCTTGGGATTTATGAGTGTTTCCCTCATGTTTCCAAAGGGGAAAGAGGCAGGAGACAGAAAGTAGGTGTTTCTTTTGTGGAGTGATTCATCCACTTTTAAGAATGATGTGTCCAAGATAAAAAGATCGCACACACACTGGGGTGTAATACAGGGATCCTTGAGCAAGTGGGGGTGAAGGGTGAAGTATACTGTTGGTTCCCAGATCTGTAAAATAAAAACAACACTGGGGTACCTAGGCGTCTGTACTAGAGCACCGTAGTCTCCAAGTTAAGAGTATACACTAGTCCTCTGGAGTTGGAAATCAATAGGTATTAAAAATGCAGATTCCTTGCTCTGACTTAGGGATTGTGTTGGTGGTTCTGGGCCGGGGTCTGGATGTAGCATTGTCACACTTGGAGAAATCATAATCCAGCTCTCTTCCAACCCATTTTTTTTTTTTTAAAGCATCAAGTAGCCAGTACTATAGAGTTTTGTTCTTATTCCCCTTGTCTGTTATAAACGAGGGTAGCCATGTAATATATGTGTGATGCAAATACATCAAATATATGACAAGTGATTTTACTTGTACTGAATAGCATCCAGAAAATGAGACAAACTAAATTCTGTGGTCTGATTTTATGAAAGTCGTAGCAATCAGTCATGTATGATAACAAGCTTAATCATCACATATTTAATAACTTGTATGCTTGTCTTAAAGTGTAGATAACTTCTGTCAGTAAGTTGTCAAAAGTTGTTCTTTATCTCTATCAAAGTTGATCTTTGTACACTGCTTTTTATTAAAATTGGAGGGAATATTCCTTCAAAACTAGCCTTATAAAATATATAGTATTTTGCAAGATGCAAAGAAATACAGACTTTTTTGAGCCTTTTAACAGTTCTGTGACCAAGACAGAACAAAAAGCCCTATTGTACAAGTTAAAAAAAAATCAGGCCCAAGAGCAGCTAAAGAGTTTCTCCCCTAAGGGTTACATAGCCAAATATAAGATTCTACATTTAGCAATTTTAATAACTTAATAACTGTTTGTATTGGTGATGATTTGGTGGGGCAGGGAGATTAACATTCACTGCTATCTACTAAAAGCTGAATAAGTGATGTTAAGATTTTGAACTTGAACTTTACCCATCTTTTCAGTTTTCAAAGTACCAGAACTTATCCACCTCTGAAACTACTAAATTCTCATATGACTTATCTAAACCCAAGTTGTAACATACCTTTTTTGTTTTGCTCACATTGTGCCTTTTCTCTTCAGCTGAATAAAACACCTTTGAGGTTTAAAAATCACGATTTAGATCCTTTCTTTAACCACATTTAGCCCAGTATCTTACTTATCTTCAATGTCAGTTTATAGATAGTGATAATACTTGTCTAGGATTATTCCTTAGACAACTAAAAATATAGTCAAAAGTATATTCAAAGTATTTCATATGATCTTAATATATAATTCTTCACAACTCAGAAATTATTTTTAAAAGATAAACACTGTGTTTGAAAGTTAGTTTATATTTGTGATTTCTGACCCCCAAGGAGGGGGGAAAAAAGCATGTAATTTGGAATGTTCAGACACATTCCATTTATCCTTAAAGACCAGCTGCTCTTGAAGGCGAACTGTTTTTTGTTTGGCTCCCCCAATCTCTCAGTTTTTTTCTGTGCTGTTTATGATGTTTGTATGTGTTACGTGAAGGAACATAGAAAAGATTCCTTTGTTATACCCATAGTACCCACCACATGTGTTTTTATCATACCATTATACCATTTCTCATTGCATTTCAAAGTTGAGGGAGTCCCCACAATTCAACTAAAGTGGCTCCCTCCACAAAGAAATTTTTCATCGAATAATTTTGGAATGCACTGCCCTCTCACTCACCTGGCATCAAGAAGCAAAAAATTCAAGAAAAGAAAAATTTAAGAAAATACTCCTGGTGGTGGAAAAATCATCTGGCCCCTGATGCTCCCTGCGGGCACCAGTTCTGTACTAGGGTATTATGCTGTCGGCAGTGCCCGGAGTCATCAAGAAGGGTCAGCTATGTGGCTGTCTTCTACAAAAACAAATCACCTAACCTGTTTGAGAAAATTCTCTCCCTCACTGGCTATGAGCAAAGCTTCAAACCTTAATGGGATGAGCTTACGATTCTGGAACTGTGATTTAATAGAAAACTACTCATTCCTTAAAGATGCTGATGATTAAGAGATAACATATTCAAGTTTTTCTCTTATTTCTACTTTCTCTCTTAC